TAAACTCTTCTATAACTGGAAGTAACTCTTTTAAGGAAATATGATTATAACATCTGGCTGCAGGACGTATCTAATTTTTCAAGGAATTGTCTTTAAACTATTGGTCGGATTACTGCATGAGTAATCAAGAAAATTGATAAAACATCTTCTTTTGCTTTTGGATTTAGATATATTTGCAAGACGTGTTTGATGTATATCAATGTATCTCAAGTTGTTTCCAATGGGGAATCCCACTCAACCACTTTTATAACCTAAAATGCTTTGTGGATCACCTTCGAAAGCAATTTTTAGTATATGTTACTGCAAGTGTACTTTTATTTTTAAAACAAAATTTATTAAAACTAAGAAGAGAAATATGCCAAAGTAAAATATAAAATTAGGCAAAACAGTAACCTTGTGTTTGGAGTAGATTTTGAAGTCTACGTCAAGCACGAGTTTGTTGTTTTGCCTAATATTATGATTAAATTTCATTTAATTTTATATCGGTATTAATTAGTTAAAAGAAAACTGGTATTGGTTTTAATAATTCAAGGCTACAACAGTTTGTATAGCTTTTATCTTATTAACTATAAATAAAGATTGGTACTCACATTAATTACATAGACCGCTTAGCAATTCCTGCATAGTTGTTTCATGTTTGGATAAGCTTAAGTCTTATATCGGATTTCGCATCTTTTGAAAACGCTTAAGTCTGAGATCGCATACATTCAGTAGATTTGGCGTCTTTAATTTGCCTGAGCTTGTGACGAAAACCTTTTCTTACAAACATGCCTAGACGTAAACTGAGTTATAATTTTAAAGCACCGTTGTGTAGTTCACTATATTCCGTTTCCACTGGTGACGAGGTCCAGAAATTAACCATACCATACCTTCTGCTTGGAATTTCATTTTATGTCTGGTGTCATTAGAGAGTTCAATTAATTGTTCTCCTTCATTCAGTGACGGTTTGTTGCTGTCAAAATCACAGTGGAAAGAATAAAAAATCTACGAAATTTCGTTATATTTATCACTTGAAAAATAAGTTTCAGATTGCGACCCCAGACTTTTGAAATGCGAACATGTGTCAGTCTTGATTCTTTTCCAATAATGGTATCATTTTCTACTAAAAATGAATCTGAGGTATAAAATGCTGAAAATCTTTCAGTTTTACACAATTAACCCACAAAACTAGTTTCTTCTAAAACACCTTTAATTTTTCATAGTCATTGAGAGCAGTCAAAGAATTGCTTTGTAAACGGACATTCAGTTCATTTAGTTTTCAGAATACATTGAGTTTCGAGAAAGACATACCAGTACACTTAGCTGCACGCAGTCAGCAAGAACTGATGTAAAATCTCACTAATTTCTTTTACAAATAATCAGAATATTTTTGCAAATTTAGAAGGTTTGATTTATTGAGATTACGGCAAAGCACACCAGGGCTATCTGCCTAAGCGGAGGGACGCCTTCTTGGAGAACGTTCTAAGGGAAGCTGGCTCGTATACACGTTACATATGGGAAAAACCACGAAAACGCCCATGCAGCCAGCCCATTCGCGGGATTCGAACCTCGCACCGAACTACCAGTGTTTAGCGACTTTACCGTTCGGCCGCTGGTGGGCGCAAATTTAGAAGGATTGCAGAGACAAGATTTGAAGAGTGCCTGCAGCCCTTAGACCACAATTTGAGAAACGCTGATGTACATGAAAATGATTATTATTATTTCTGTGTATTGTGTAATATACTGCCTTATTTGGAATTAATATTATATTTGGGCAAAACATGCTAAACATCTTGGTCTCTTGATCTAAGGTGAATGTGAAGTGAACCTTGAATCAAGTTATAATAGTGCAACGCAGATGATTGCTACCTAAGAATCACGAGCAACTGATTTTCTTATGTTATTAATTTTTCATTCTCTGCACAGATTTATATACCAATCAAAATGCTTTCTTATTCAGTCAAACTTTAAATTTTTAAACTTTAGCCGGGCGTTCAAACACGTCTCAATTTTGTATCCCCGTATATAAATTTAAATTTATAATTTAGACATTTATTTTGGTCTTTGGACAGAAAAGGCCTTTTGAAGTCACTGGAAAATGTATTTGCCACCTGCGTGTAGGACATTCGCTGCATACTCTTCCGGAACGACACAGTATGGATGATGAATTCTTTCTTTATTTTGATTTTTCTTATTAATTGGAACTAACTTTTCTAATTAATTGCTGCAATCTGCATGGGAATAATATAAAACTTCTTGAGAAGTTTTGCACAAAGTTCATAATTTATTTATTATTAATATTTGTGCTTATAGGTTTTCATTATTTACACGTTTAGAGAGAAAAAATTTCATTCATGCAATATCGTTGGATCTAGATGAATTTCTACACGAAAATTCTGCTCAAACGATCAAGACAGTAATTAAAAGATTCAAACTATGAACAAAATTGTGGCTTGCTTCAGTAAATGTAAAATGGGCATCGTATACGGTATATGAAAAGCAAAGATCGAGGTTGAAGTAAATCTGACAGCTGATTGTATGACTTTCTTCGATTCTGTTTGTGTGATCTATGATATCTTGACGTAAGATTTCGGCTTATATGACGGGGATTGAGAAATTAAATTAAAAGAACACTAATGAGTTGTATCATTGAATCCAGCCGACCTATGCTCGCTGGAGCTGTGCGGCTATACCACGTCAGCGCCAGCTGTTTGCTGAAGGCGTAAATTCAGCACTTTACCAACTTAGCATAAAAGTAGTTAGAATTTTGCATAAAAGCAATTATCCCTCTACATTTAGCCCTTTGCATATAAGTAGTACTGCATAAATTCCTCAAGAGCACAACAGGTGGCAGGAGAGCGATGTCATGACAAAGGGCCTCGCAAAAAATGCATGAAAAACACCGATTACGTCTTTTATTTTACCATCCTCAGCCACATAATGTTACTTACAGCTAGGTAGGTTGCCATGTGAATAATTGAAAAATACTTCTGCAACAGCACTATGCTCCAGAAGGCCCTTCCGCTCTTACCATTGATCAAAGAGCAACTCTTGCAGTGCTGTAGGATCTGATCAGTGCAGATTGTGTCAAACACTCGTAGTGATTCATGGTTTTCAGTTTTGAATCATAGTTATGATCTACTCTATAATGTTGAATCATATTTCGCTTTGAGCATTAATAGCTTATAGTTACATATCTAAAGAGGGAAGGACTAACGAACTCATAAAATTTTCCTTCATTTTGTAAAGTATCTTACCGTCTTCATTGAGAATCACTATGTAGGGAACAATTTCCTGCAATAGCTGGTCACTTTGGCAATCACTCTGCCATTTCTATGACAGCAGAGTACGTCAACGACTTTTTGAGAAATGTTGTTTTGTTCTTCTCATCTCAGCATATCCAACAAATTTTGAATAAGAAGATTTCAGGAGCAATATGATTCGGTTCTTTTGGATCCACGCATATGAATGTCAATGAAGACTCCTTTACAATTACCTGATTTACAAACCTCTTTTTGATCAAGTATATTCGGCAAATGTTGTGATGCTCTTTTGCTCATCCCAGAATGTCGATGATGTAGCCAGCCAGTTAATTCTATAGCGGCCGTATTATGTCTCAGGATCACATCGCATTTACTATCTGTCACTTGTATACTTCTATATCACACTAGGTGACCACTGACTTCCTGAGTAACACAAAAGAAAGAGAATATGGTCTATCAAATCAAAATGCATAAGGCGTCTTTCTCTAAGGGCGATTTGAAGAAGTCAGCATTCTTATCTTGAGATGAACGAAGAATGAAACGAAGAAGATGAACATTTTTAACTGGCAAAGTATTACAGCACTTTGTATTTAGTGCGGAATGAGACAAAAGAGGATTTAAAAGAATGATTTTGATTATGCAGATGTCTCGTTTAAGGGTTAACTCAGAGATATACTATTATCATTTGTCGAAATCTAATTACATAAATCGGAATTTATAAACTCAGAAACGATTTATTCAATTTCGGTCAATAACGTTTAATAGATTATAAGGTATTTCTTCCACCTTCTTAGCGTGCCTTCGAGGTGTGGTGATCTGCACGCTCAGCGCGTAATTGAGAGGTCCTTGGTTCGATTCCCAGCGAAGGCGTTGCATATTTTTCATCTTGCCTGCTTCCAAAAAAAAAAAAAAATACATACAAAAAAATACTTTATAATCTCTACAAGATAATAAAGTTTCCACTTTTGTTAATTTTGCGAATCTATTAGAGTTTCTCATCTTTATTTGGCGTTGGATCTTAAGTTGAAAGTGAATAAAAAGACATGTAATCAGATCAGATTCGTTGTGTTTCTTTGGAGAATTCTGACAGTTTCCTCTGGATGTTCGGTGTTTACACAGATGACCCTTTTTATAAGGAAACTTGATACCAACTTACTTTTCTCCTTTCTTCTTTTCAGAAAGTAATTATTCTTTCTGATTTTATCTCTTCCTTCAAACTTTGATTTATAAGCGAGAATGCATGCTTCCTCGTAATCAACATTAAAGAGAGATTCTGAGAGAATATAAGGATATTTATTTTCAGTGGGTGCTTTCTCATTCCGAAAGTTTTGGTAGCGGCAGAGCTAATTCCAAGATGAGATATGATTTTGAAGAAACCAGTTAGGATTACGAATTTGCTTGAATCTGTCATCATCCTGGACCCTTCTTGGCATGTTGCAGTAGCAAGTTTCAATCTTTTTTTTTTTTTTTTTTTTTTTTTTTTTTTTTTTTCATGATTTTGCATGAAATGTCCAGTAATAGCAAATAAAACATAAAACAAACAAAAAGTAGTGTGACAGTGCTATATACGGCGGTAAAAAAGGGTGAGCTAGTTTCAATCAAAAGTGTTTTTCTTAAATTAAATATAATCTGGATGATACTGAATTGAATAATTCAACTAATTAAAACCCAGTACAATTTATGAGAGTGAATAGTAACGCGTTTCACCTATTAAGTTGAGAGGTTTTAAAAACTAGAGTCTGAAAGGTATCTACTTACTCTGACTTATAGCTTGATTGAAAAGTAAGCCCACGAGGAGGAAAAGAAATGTTGCTCCTTTCATTGCTGCCATCTTCGATGATCTTCACCGACTTAATGGACACCAGTGGATCGCTGGCAATATATACAATATTTCTTGATACGTCTATGACGAAATGACTTCTCTGGTTAAACACTATTTCCCTTTTCCGTATTTTTCCTTCCTATTTTTGGATACGCTGCTTGACTCTTATCGCTTAATTTTCATTACTCAGTTGCTGTAAAATCGCAGCTCGAACCATGAATAATTCATTTTGTTCCCACCAAAGTAAGAAGTTCCATCAGCATGAGCTTTAAAATCAATAGATAAAATTTCAAGTCTACAAGATATGTAAAACTAATAAGGAACAGTAGGTCACGCATTGACGCTTCAGACTTAAGTCGTTATTAAGTCGAAGATCTCGCAAATGTAATTTATGTAATAAAGAGTGAGAGGATACAATATTCTTCGATATTTTAGTATTATAATTCTGAAAACTGCCGCAAATAAAGATTTCTTCCATCAAAAAGTTCCTGTTATAGTCATATGCTAAAAATGCATCCCGATATGTCGACGTGAAAATGAAAATGTGGTTAAAAGAAAATAATATTACTAGAAATTTGACGAGAACTGTTCATAGAAATATGTTGTTTATAACATCATAAAGTATTCAGTCACTTCTTCTCATAATCGACATTTATATAAACTTAAACAGGCTATTAAAAAAGGACACATGACTCCAGTTTCTTCTCCTTCTTTTTATTATTATTTAAAACAATGTATAGTAGGATCGTGGAACCTTAAAAATTGGTAAACGAATAACGTAATCTTCCACAAAATATGGGCATCATGAAGCCCTAATTTGGAATTTGTTTTATTATCGATTCCATATTTTGTATTACTTTAACAAATTTTTGATTAACAAACTCAAAAATTTCAAAAAGAGCAAAGGCAACACTGTGCAGAAGAGAAAAAGAACATTTTTTATCTCCAGCGCGCGAGACTGTGTATCGGAAATTCTAATGATAGGCTTATTTTAAAAGTATTTTGCGATATTGTTGTTGAATTGAATTTTATGGTTTAAGTGCAAAGAATATAATATTTAATAAATAAAGGTAACACTCAAAACGTTAAAAAAAAGTTCCCTTTGGGCGTAATATAAAATCTGAAAACTTTCAGATTTTTTTAACATTTATTACATTCGAAAATATTTTACTGTCATTTATTTTATTTGTTGTGGGGAATTTATTAGTTTTATTTTACAAGTTCCTTTTTTAAATGCAATTATTTGTACATTTAGGAGGCAGTGAAACTTTGTAAGTAAATTACTCTTTAGTTCATATCAGACTGTTCTTTATATTTTTTTCTGTTGAACACGAGATAATCTCATCTTCATCATTATACATCTTTAATAAAAAAAAAAGTGTATCAGATTTCTAGTTTAAATGATTTCTTTCCTAAAGAAAAATAAGCCACATTTCTTTCATTTTTCGTGAAATTTTTTCAAGAGAGTTTATTTTAAAAATACACTTAATTCTGTTTATACATGATAGATATAGATACAAGTTTCAAAAGAAAATATAAGGCGTCAAAAGCATAACGGGAGGAAGCTTCGCGGAGAAAACTACGGAAGGCGAAATACTTTTGGAGAAAAAAGAAAGAATGGAGAAAAGATTGCAGTTATAAAATATCATGGTATAAAAAATTGTCGTCAGAAATAAAGCAATTTAAAAAAACCATCGAAGGTTTAAAACATAGCGGCAAAAAATAAAAAAAAGAAGAGGTATTAAACATTACCCTTCCAAGATGATAAGATCACAGATGACTAAAAAGGTATGGAATCGTGAATGGTTACTTTAAAAAAGAATCTTCATCTATTATACTTTCCTGTTAGCTATTTCTGATAAGTACGTTAAAATGCTATTTAATTTTTCAGATATATTTTATTCGACATTTGCTTGCCTATTTACAATACATGGTGAACTAAGACGAAATCTCTTAATATACTTAACTGTGCACGGAAATTTTTTCAACACTGGTAGTGAATCTCATCTCTCTAAAA